ATACTTTATCAAAAAACTTGTAATGGGGAGACAATATAAAATGCGGTTCTTATATTACATGATTATTAGGTACCATTAGCATTAATAAGGATAATACTAATAATGAGTGTTTTAGACAGAAGTAGTAAGAAATAACAGCAAGCTAACATTGCAGAGCAACTTTTCCTGTTATGTTTTCTGTCGCTATAATAGCTCCCCTTATGAGCTGCACTTACAAGCTTACGGTAGCTTGTAGGTAAAGAAAAGATACTTCTTTTTATTCCGATGTAGGTTGCAGCAGCTAAAGCAGATGCAGCACATAACCGTCGTCATTACAGAGCTGCTGCTCTCGAGCTCAACGAAATCAAGAAGGAGCTGCATGCCAAAGAACTGCTTGTCCAAGCCCTTCAGGCTGAAGTGGACAAACTGCAGTAAGTGTTCTGTAATAAATGTCTATGTTCCTAAAACATAGACTGGATTGTGTGAAAATGCCTGTCTAATTTAACATCTTTTCATGACGTAACTCCCGCTGTGAAAGTGTTAGCGAAGCTGCCAGTCAAAGCTGTAACTAATCAGGTTGTGTGCACTGTCATTTAATAGACAGATAATTTGTGCCACAAAAGGATAATCTGTATCACTTATGGTTTCATAGCTAACACAGTGAAGTACTCCTTCTAAAGAGCAGATCGAAATAACTGCTATGTCTGTTTCTGTTAATTCTGCTAATTCTGCTGTGTAGGGTAGAGGATGAGAAACATTCCCAGGAAGTATCACAGTTTCAGGAAGAGTTGGCAGAGGCCAGGTCTCAGCTCCAACTTCTGCAGAAGAGCCTGGATGAGAAGCTTAGTGAACAGCCAGGAGTAAACCAAGAGGTACAATTAAACATTGTGTTTCTTCTTACCTAACTGCCTGAAATACATGGTTTAATTTACTCTTTCTTCGTCTTGTTTTACTAGGTTTTCTTAGAAGCAGGAAAGGTTCATAAGACATAAATGATTAAATAATTTACATTTTGTGAATAGTTGTTCCTACAGAGAATTCTAAACTTTTTTTTGTGATAGGTGGAAGACCTCAAGTGGGAAGTAGAACAAAAAGAAAGAGAAATTGAAGCACTTAAGCAGCAGTTGGATATGAGTGAACAGCGCAGCCATAAGGAGCTGGAAGGGACACAAGTTGTCCTGCAGGTATGGGATCTAGCTTATTTTTTTAAAAAACACTTTCCTTGTACTGTATTAATTCTGTTCTTTTGCCTTGTAGAATATCAAGACCGAGTTGGAAATGGTGAGAGAAGACTTGTCAGTAACTCAGAAAGACAAGTTTATGCTCCAGGCTAAAGTGAGTGAACTGAAGAACAGTATGAAGTCCCTACTGCAGCAGAACCAGCAACTGAAGTTGGACCTGAAGCATGGCAAGATGAAGAAGGTATTTAAGTAGAAAGAATGCACATTGTAGTGTAACTTGCTTACAGTACTGGAACAGTATAATCCTTCTAGATGGTATTAGTTTACTTATGGACAAGGCTAGCAGATGGCAGTAGGTTAGGAACTTCTTATTGTGAACCGTGAAACATTATTAATGTGCTTCTGGATTTTGCTCTGCAATGCAGATAGTTACCAGTAGAGTGATGTGAGACACTTTGTGGTAGAAGTGAAATTCTTGAAAATAGCCTAATTCTATTTCTGTCTTTTTTTTCCTCTCTTTCTTTCTTTCTTTGTTTTTCCTTAAACAGAGGAAGGAACTGAAGGGAGAGAATAACTCTTCAAATCCTGTGACTCCAGTGAAGATTCCAGATTGTCCTGTCCCTGCTGCCTTGCTGGAAGAATTGTTAAAGCCATCGTCAGCTATGAGCAAGGAGCCTTTAAAAAATCTGAACAGCTGTCTCCAGCAATTAAAGTATGATCTGTTATTTTAAACCACATTAATCTTAAAAATGTGTCTAGAGAACATTTGCTGGTGTGAAGGGAAGCAATAGATTTGTGAAATGAATTATTTTTGACCTTATTAGGGCTATGCATGAGGCATTAAGATGCTCTGGCATTTGCAAGTGTTTGCTTATATGGAAATGACAAAGGGAAAGGGAGGCCTTGACTACATACTAGACAAAATAGCCATCCTAAGAAGTTGAGTATTTGTGCTCAAATAAATACACTGCAGAACAAAAGCAGCTATTTTTCAGTTATTCTTGCTGCTAGAGATATTTATCTCTTTGCAGTATCAGCAAGGTTGCTTGTGATAGCAATCCAGGTAGTGTATTTATTAGAAATCTCTGAAGAGGCATTTCTCTACTGCATAAATACTTTTTCATTTCTTTATTTGCAAGATTGCGCATGAGAATCTGAGTGGGAAAGCTACAACTACAGGAAGATGGGGCTTTCAGGTTAATGGTAGAACAGGGCTGGATGGATGGGCTTTGATGGAGGGTATTTATGATAGAACAGGGCTGGATGGATGGGCTTTGGAGGGTATTTATGGGGAGGGAGAGGTAGCCTGTGATGATGATGCATAATCTTGTACTGTCAAACTAGTCTCTCTACTAAATTGATACCACATAGAAGCATTCTTGTGTGTGTGTGTTACTTTTCTCTGCTTTCCTCACCTCTGCCTTCCACGTTGTCCCTTATGTCTGTGAGAGCTGTAGTTGCTAAGTGCCTTTGCTGAGGAAATAGTGCTACATCATGCCTGCCAATGAGTACGTGCAGCAAAGGAGATGCTGCATTGTTGGCCCTTATTTTTCAATTATGTACATTCTGTTTGTTCTTAAATGGCTGAAGTGTTTTAGTGAGTTTTTATTTAGCAGTTAGTTTTCTGTTTGCTAATTGTTTTTTCTTGTTTCTGTTATTTTTAAAAGGCAAGAAATGGACAGCCTTCAGCGTCAGATGGAGGAACACACCCTTACCGTGCACGAATCCATGTCTTCATGGACTCAGATTGAGGGGCAGCTAATGGACATTACCTCTACCAGTCTTGCAACTGCATCAGACCAGCAGGAGATTCCTGATGTAGATGAAAAGAAGCAGAATTGTGACACTAGTGACAAGGAAGCTTTGAAACAATAACCTCCTCAGCAATTGTCTGTCTTCCTATTGCTTTAAGTGTGTAAAGAAATCTTTATCAAAGTTATTTATTTATTCCATTTTAAATTGGTGTTCAAAGTTCTGCTTTTGCCTTTAGAAGCAAAGGGCACGGTTTTGAGAAACTGGCACAACGCTAACTGCAGAACATGCTATTCCAAGGGTTTGTTTGAAACGTTTTGATGTTTTGAAATCGTTTTGACACGTTGGCAACATTTGGTAAACTTGACTTATTTTGTGATTATAGTAAGAGATTCAGATGACGGTTTAAAATGAGGACACAAAGAGCACCTGATCCTGAGACTGCATTTCTTCAGTCTCAGTGAGAAGGCACTATTAATTAAGTAATTTCAGGGGGTGGGAGGGTGGTGTATTTGCTTGTTCGTCCCCATAGTTTTTCACTACTTTGAATTGTATGCAAAAATAAGTCCTTTTAAGGTTCAGCCATTAGCAGTGGTTAAGAACTGGATATTCTTATTCAAGCATCCCCAGCCCCCACTTCCCTTTCCCTTGTGAATTTCAAGTCTCAGATTTTTAATTATTATTTTTTTAAGTTTTGATTTCAAGCCATCTCTAATTATGACAATTACCTTTGGTCATATAATAAAAGAAACAGATTGCAAAGGCAAGCAATGCTGACCAGTAACTGTCTTTGGCAGAGGTGCCCAAAATGTTTTCTGAAGCGTCACAGTTTTTCTCTTGCAGTTGCAGGCCAGTAGGGTGCTTTGCTTCACTGCACATAAAAACACTTTTTGCACCTTTTTATTTCAACTTTTGAAGTAGACATGCTTGGTAAAGTTATGTGTGTAATATATATATTAAGAACTTAATTTTCTGACTTTGAATATCTGTTTAAATATGCTTATGTTCTGTAAGTAAAGGCTGACATGTTTATTTTGTTACTGTCACTGTTTTAATGTTACATTTAAGTTTGTTTTGTTTTTGGTTTTGACAATGCTGTACATATGGCTTAGGGAACCTAGTTTAGGGAACCCAAAAGCCAGAGCTTTTAGAAATGTAATTATTTACTTTCAAAGACAAAATTTTAATGCCTATGAAATTATTATTTTTATTAGCTTTATTCTCCACAGCCCCCTTAACTCCCCAACTTTTGGCATATTTCCTGTTACACGAGGTGCCAGCTGTGAATGGAAATGTTGGTACTACGGCAGACCTTCTGCAGAGACACCTTGGCTACATTATTATTAAGGTAACCCATTTTTTGTTCTTTTGCCTTTGGTCCTGCTGTTTCATACAGCTCATACTGCAGTGATAAACCAATGCTCTCCTTCCCATTCTAAAATCAATACGGAGGTTCTGCTTTATGTACTGTGCATGAGCATGACTCAAAATACACATGACATAGTTCAGAAGATTCAGTGGCAACTCATGTAGCATCATGTTTTTTTCTTTAAAACATGTGGAAAGAAGGTCAATTATATCCAGTGTATATTGGCTTAAAACACCTAGTTAGAACAAGCAGGTTAAAAAGAGGTTCAAAAAAAAATTTTTTTTTAGGTCATTTCATCTAGTATTTCTGTCATAATTAGCTGTGACAACATTCAGACAATTTTTCTTGTCTTTACTTTTCAGATGCCTGATTTATGCATTTTTCTAAAGAGGCAGTTACTTCTTTGAGGAGGCTGGTTTTGGATGAGTTTGGATATTCAGCTGTAAGGGTGAATTATTGCAATTTGCTTAGCAATAAGGCAAAAAAAAACCCCATAACCAACCCTTAACTCTTATCTAGAGTTTTAGTTCTCAAAATCCATTTCAGTTCTTGACCAGCTGAACACTTTGCAGTTAAAGTGACTTCATGCCTCTCAGCTCCCAGACTTTTAACTTATTTTATGGGGTCAAATTTAAGTGATGCTAAAAGGTAAGATTTTGAAGCTGGTGAAGGAACAAATGGGTTACTGTGAGTTTCATTGTCCAAGATAGAGATTTATGGAATGGTTTATTTAAAGAAAAAAAGACTTAAAGCTTTACTGACTATCTCAGACCTGTTAACATCTGCACACTACTGCAGTCTACTTTAGAGTAAATGGTACTGATTATCTAGCTGCTGTCATGTTCTTGAAGTTGCCTGAATATTGAGCTCTAAGAAGAAAAAAATGCAGTTTTGCTAAAGTACAAAGTTAAATACTACATAATAAATAATATATTAATTGCAAAAAAACAAGTTCATGTTTTTTAAATAAAATAACGTTTCAGGGTTAATGTTGCTGTTCATTTTGGTAAATGCTTTGCCTACAGTTCAGAATCGATCACTTTTTCTCTCAAGTTTGGCAGCATTTGTACAGATAAAGCTTTTATCTGGAATCAAAGATGCCAGAATTGTAAGAAATGTTCATAGCTCTTCAGAGTATTTGTTTCTCCTTCTGTTTGTATCAATAATACATCCTGTTTTCAGTGCAATGCTACATTTTTTTTTTGTTTCTGCTAGCTTTTTATATGCACATCTTAGCTTATACAGCCAAGTAGCCTTAGCGGCATATTTTATTTTGAAAGATGAGGGATTTGTTGTGGAGTTTTTGAATTAAATTGCTGCGTTGTCCCACCTGCTTCCCTCTGACAGTAATTGAACACCAGATAATTTCATTTTATATTCATCATGTCTTTTTTTATAGACACGAACACATGCTATTTACTTAGTGGAAGAATAGAGGATAAGTAAGACTCAAGGGTAGGTGGTGACATACTAAGCCAATTAAGTTACTGAGGTTACTGGAAAACCTTCAGGAAGTACTCAGCATGTGACAAAAGCAAGGCCTTTTGAAGAATATCAACTATGTTCTTTAAATATCAAGAGAAATAGTTGCTGTTTTATGAAAAGGTTCTGTGTTCCACCCTGAGGCTGAGCATGCTCTCTTGGTAAAACTTGGGCCTCTTGATGTCTATGCAGTTAAACAACTTACAAGAATAAAAACTGTATCCCTTCGGCATGTCACAGCACTGCCAAATATATTGGAGGAAGATCCGCCTGATTAGTGTGTGTTTAGAACTTGGAGGAATAATCCGTAAGAGATTTTATTTTTTCCTTCTTCAAGCACTGCAATGGAATGTATTTTACATGTCTGCCTCTTCAGTAATTGCTACCTACTTAAGCAAGTCTTGTTGATGAAGGGGAAATGTTGCTGCAATGTGGGAATGTTTCTGAAGTGATGAAAGTTTATAAAGGTTGTGGTATTATTTTTTTTTCAACTACTCCTGCTTTGTTGAGGACATGTGAACAGCTGCATTAAAAAAAAATACAATGGGGAAAAATACTGGTTACAGAGACTCAGTAATGCTGAATATTACTTTGTTTTATTCTGTTGTCTTCCAAATTTCTCGGAAACAGTTGTGCACTGTGTCAGGGGATCAACTGAGCCCCTTATGTGCTCATGCAATGAAAGTTTCATTCCAAACTGTATTCAGGCAATATTCCAGCTGAAATCTATGAGTATTTTGCACTTAATAAGGAATAAGGTAATATTCAGAAAGAAAGCTCTGATGCTTATATTTTAATGGATTATTCTTCTATGACAGTGAAATGCAGCAGTATATGTGCTTTAGTTATGACAACATTCAACACACTGAGGACAGATAGTATGATTAATATGAATTTAACTCAAAGCTGACAAATTCACAACTGGTGATGCACAAGCCTTTGATGTATGGATGTATGTTTTATTAACTTTGCCAGGGAAATGTTAATAGTTGCATGTGACTTGCTGTGACGAGAAGCCTTTAAATATTTTCATGGGGAGGCAATCACGGTCCAAAGTAACTACTAATGTCATCCGAGCACTCTTGTCTCCCATTAACATGTTGCTTCAGTCCGGGAGCAGGGAGCAGAGCAGCCTCATCTCTGATAACGGATGAACGGATTGCTGGAGGAGGGAAGGAGGTACTGAATCTCGTAAAAGAAATTGTTAATGTTTTACACGTGACATTAAGCAATTTAATGTCTGCTTAGGCTGTATTTGTAAAGATGAAAGTTAATTATTTCATGTTCTTGAGTGGATAATCCAGGGGATGGAGGAGTTATACTATGTACAATTAATGATTATGATCATACAAGGCATGTTGATTATAAAAAAATGTGCATAGAAATTCCTTTGAAAGTTTGTGCAATAAACTATTTTTGTTAAAGGGCTCCACATGCTTTTAGTTCTTATTCTGAAAGAGGAAGTGGTCTAATTTGGGGGGGCAGGAGAATTTTTTATTTTTAGGATTCTGAACATGCTGTATACTCACTTCTTTAATTCAAAAAAAAAATAGTAGTCTAGGTGTTGCTTTGCTTTCTTTAGAGAATTTAGGATAGTGATTTTACTTTCCCTTATTATTATTTCCCTGGCTTTGATGAACCCAGCACCAGCCTCCACTAATGAACAGAAGACTAAAGTGTTCGATAAGGTCGTCCTGATTTTAATTAAGCACAATGATGAAGAGAAGAAGGATGGCATCTCTTTTTTCTTGTTTTCAACAGTCTAGAAACTATAGAAACCATTAGCACTTGTCACCTTCTTAAAGGCTCATTTAAAGGACGAGGGGGCTTTGCTCGTACCCCGGCATGTTGCAGGCACCCGGACAGGACCCTCACAGCCCCCTCACACGGTTTCGCTCCCTTTCCATCCGCCTTTTATTCCCC